CAGAGATAGAGAGATACAGAGATAGAGAGATAGAGAGATACAGAGATAGAGAGATAGGGAGAGGGAGAGGGAGAGGGGGAGAGAGAGAGACATGAGAAACTGAGTAACTGAGGAAGTTCTCTTATAACTTGTATTTTAAGGCTACACTACCTGTTCTTCCTTAGCAGTGTATGAGTGGAAAATGTGTATATCCAGCCATATATATATAAATATATATTATTCTCATTATTCTCTAACTCATAATTTCCCATATTTGCAGATTAAACCGATAAAATGGAATGAGCTTATTGGTTGGTCCCGAGATGGAGGAACATACCTTGGAACAAATAAGTTAGTCCCACCCTAGACTATCTTCTTTTTTATGTCAGGAAAAGGCATATATGTTAGCTACCAAACCTAAAAATTCAGACCTGGGTTTTCTGCTTAAATTTTGCTCTCTAGTACGCCGGCTGTGTCGTGGTGCAACTGCAATGTGCCGCTGGTAAAATTACGTTCTCTACTGTGACAGCTGTGTCATGGTACAACTATAGCATATCGCAGCTAATACTAATATAAAATAATTAATAATATAAATATATTATAATATAATATAGAGATGCTGCCAGCAGATATTAGCTACCCGCCCTTTTCTCTTTCTACGTGGAAATTGCTCGCCACAATAATCTCTACAACTTCACTTGCCGTTTTGCGATGCCACTAGTGCCAGAAACCAGTCTCTGCTACTCTCTCGCACATCGCATCACTTAGATGTTTGCGTTTTCAGGGAAACCACCACCGGCCTGCTGCCGAACATCGCCGCGCAATTCCGCCGCCATCGCATCAGCGGCCTCGTGGTGGTGGGCGGCTTCGAGGCGTACGAGGCGACGCAGGAGCTGGCGACGGCGCGAGCAAATCATCCGGAGTTTTGCATCCCCATGACGATCATCCCATGTACGATCAGCAACAATGTTCCCGGGACGGAGTTCAGCCTTGGCGCTGACACGGCCCTCAACGAGATCGCTGAGGTTAGTGATGCTACGAACTGGAGTAAAACACAGACTACGAACTGGAATAAAACACAGATAAAACATATATAGACTGAACACGTAAATAAATAACAATTATAATATATAATTTAATATATTATTAACAATTATAACAAATAAATAACAATCGTGCGATCATCGGTTGGTGGTCACGCATGCGAGCTCACACTATGAACTGGAATAAAACACAGACGAAACACGTAAATGGTGCAAAACGAGATCGCTGAGGTGAGTGATGCTACAAACTGGATTAAATGGATAAAACTCGCCGATGATCGTATGACCTTGACAGAGTTCGATAACCATATGCCCCTGACAGATATCGATAATCCTATGACCCTGACAGAGGTCAATCCTCATACGACCTTCATAGAGGCTGCTATGCGAATGGAGACACGAATGTCACATATTTTTGTATATAGATGTCAACACATAATTGTCGCTATGAACTGGAATAAACGGATAAAACTCGGACTAAACACGTAATTGTTGCAAAACGCACTGAGAGCCACGGACTATTACAGACCAAATTCAAGTCGTTGAGAAATACGCGGACTCCCACAAAATACGCAGACTCCCGCGCACTAACCACGAACTGCTAATGGACTGCCTGTTAACAATGATCTAATCTCGAAAGTCAGTGATTATTAGTTCATAGTAAATGGATTTCCCCATGGCAGCTGCGTACCAGCACCTGTTAACATGTGGCTGCTTCAAGAATGGTGGAGATTTACTGGAGATTATTTTAAAGAGATGTATATAGTGCCACCTCATGGAAGTGGTATTATAACATTGAATATTCACCAAGGAGTATTAATACAACCGTTGGCTGTAATTGCATAGCTCGATATGGATGAGATTATGATTGAATATTAAATGATTTTTAATAGATGTGCGATCGGATCAAACAGTCGGCACTAGGAACCCGAAAACGAGTCTTCATCGTCGAAACGATGGGTGGATACTGTGGTTATCTGGCTACTCTGAGTGCTCTGGCTGGTGGTGCTGATGCGGCATACATCTTTGAGGAGCCGTTTAACATTGAAGATTTGCAGGTTTGTGTTTGTGGTTAGGATAATTTATTGTTCCCCCAGTTTTCTCTCCCTATTTTGTATCCCACCATCCCCTTCCGTTCCTCTCTACCTCTCCCACTCTCTTAAATCTTTCCTAGTAAAAGTTACTACATAACTTAAGTTTAATATTGTATTACGTTTACGGTGAAACGTACGTACGTTTAACATCATTTCTGTTGAGGATACATTTGACATGGAATTGATGTCTTTGCTAATTTCTTTTCATTGCAGAACGACGTTCAACACTTGGCTAGTAAGATTGACCGGGGTGTACAGCGTGGCCTAATCCTGCGGTAAGTAATCGAGGTTAGGTCTAGATTTCTTCTCTTTATTTTCGACAGTAATAGCTTTGGTCTACATCACGTGACAGCACTATACAATTTACCCTACTCCTGCATGTGCCTTATGCTGAAAGTACTTTCTGTATAGCTGTTCATCAGAAATTTGCCTTCTCAAGGCTTACGCTCAGTTGCGTGCTATTATAGTCATTTGTTTGAGGAAATTTAGTTAATGAATAAATGTATTCCTCCTGAGTTAACAATTAAAAATATACGATTGAGCCGTAGTATAGACAACAGGAGCAATACCAACACAGGTGCCAGCCAAATTTGTTGTAAGTACTTAAAAAAAGGTTTTCTCCCACATGAATTCAGTGATTGGTTGCGCAATGGTAACCATGAATGTCTTTATCTTACAGTAATGAGAACGCTAATGCAAACTACACCACAAATTTCATCCACCAGCTATTTAGCGAAGAAGGCAAGGAGTGCTTCACCACGAGAAAGAATGTGCTTGGACACATGCAGCAGGTACTGCATTGTATGAACTTACTATACCAGCAGGACCGTAGCTACGGCCTGTGGGGGTGGGGGTGGGGGCAGCTGCCCCCCTAGATTTTGGAGCAAAAGTAAAAAATAAGCTTAGCTAATAATCGTAAATAACCCTAAAATAAATGTAATAAATGATGGAATAAAATTATCCCTTCAGCCTAATCCTATCCTACATGAGATTTATTTCTTTAAACTTTTCAAAAGATTTTTCTGGTCACTTATCCGTGAAAGCCTTGTCTCAGACCACACTATGGGCGTCGAGCAAGAGCTATGCCCGTTGCTCATCATTACACAGTTGATTCATGAATTTCTGCCCCTCCCCCCTCCTAGGAATTTGCTCAGCCTACGGCCCTGACCAGTGTTGGCAGTTGCAGTCTCTGTAGCTACTGTGTTGTGAGTTAGAGGGAGAGTGTGTGTCAGCTGTGTTGAAGTTTGTTAAAATAGGCGTGTCTGTTTAAAAAAGCTTATTCAGGTGGTAATAACTCGGAGAAGGGGCATACGATAACCAATAATTCATTAATTGAATTATGTTAATTATGTTATTATTGAATTACGGTTCTCCTGATTTCAGTAAATTATGTTATAGCATATATATTATTAATATATATTCATTATATTATATAATATACATATATTAATACCCAGGCTTGTCCAGAAGCACATCATTGTTTAGGACAACAGCCCGACCAATTCTGACAACTTGTCGTTCTTGAAATACTTGTTTATCTACATGTTTGAATTCTGTATTGCAGGGAGGTAGACCGAGTCCTTTTGATAGAAATATGGGGATGAAGATGGGCAGTAAAGCTCTTGACTGGATGATATTACAGATGCAGAACAGCGCACAGCCAGATGGTAAGACCCCCATCCCTAACCTGTGCATCAATTGTAGGGAAGGTTTTTGAAAGTCTCTGCGTAGTATACAATGATTGTAGACTGTGGTCGTAGTTGTCGAGTATAATATAGACGACTTTATTCCAATATATATGTTACGACATGCATAATACGACTATACGACCACAGTCTACAATCATTGTATACTACGCAGAGACTTTCAAAAACCTTCCCTACACAATGTCATTCTCATTTGCATATAGCTGTTCGCGAGACTAACCACTAAGCAATAGCTGTACAGCATCAGTGCCACCAGCCAATCAGCTTCCAGCAGCGAATATTATCTGTGTCGAGATAAGTTTGTATCGAGATAAGAGTTGTAAGATCAATTTAAGCAGGCTAGAATTTTCCAGCTCTGTCTTTGACTGAATTCATATTGAATAGTATAGTTTATTTTTACTCGGACGAGACTCCACAAACTGTTGCTAACGTTGTTTGATTGGCTTGAAGTGATACGTAGTTTGTTAACAGGAACTGGAAGGCACCTGCTATCTTTCAGATGTTAATAAATTCTTCAGTAATGCTAGTAAATAATACCAATGTTTATCTGAGCCATTGTATTATCACTTTAAAAGTTCCAGAGCAGTTACTAACAGAGTATTGCATTCTTCAACACAATATTAATGAATGTACCATGATGGTTTGTACTGTTATCGAGTTTTATACTCACTAGATGTTGCTCTGACATGCCATCACAGTTTGTCCCTTGTGTGCTAAAAGACTGTATTGAACCTTTGCCGAACAATGTGAATAATTACAGTATTTACTCGTGTATAAGTCGCACCAATGATTTTTTGCTCAGCTGACGAAGTCGGATGCAGCTTGTAGAATCGCATGAATGTCCGTCCGGCCGTCTGTCCGTCCGTCCGTGCGTCAACAGTTATGGCACAAATCTTAACCGCGCGACGTACGATCTTGATATTCGGGACGTCGGGGGGATCGCGAAAAAGGACTCGGGATGTCGAATTTGGGGGTCAAGGGTCAAAGGTCAAGATGTGTCAATGGAGGGGAATATTTCCCCTTTAACATATAGGAGGAAATATGGAATTGCAGCACAAATCTCAACGGCTCGACCGACGCTCTTAATATTTGATGTATTGTGTGATGGGGAGGAATTACACCCATCATCAGCGCGAAATTGGAGGTCACAGGTCAAAGGGCAGTGGGGGAAAGGTCAGATATCAGATATTTTCTGAGGACATGGTCTAACGGATCAAGTGCAAAACTTATTTGTTTCAGCGCTGACCTACCATTTTTATCACTTTATTGAAAAGACCGTGAAATCTACTTTCTGCTGACGTGCGAAGGTTAAGTGTCTGATAACCTTTTGACCCTCAAGAGGAGGGTTAAACATGGATTTGTTGACTATTAACAAAGGTCTGAACTGCTTTTGCTATTAGAGCCCCCTCCACTCGCCCCTCCATTCACCCTCCCCCCATCACCACCACTACGCTCGCGCTCGATGCATATCCATGATAACGTTAATATAGCAAAGTCATTATAGTTACACAGCTATATCTTTATTACTGTACTACCGGTATAGCAAAGCCTATCAACGCGGTGGCGGGAGGGCGCACTTGATTCGGTTGCCAGTGAGTTTATCAAAAGAATACCCGGCTACAGTACACGATAGTTGAGCGCTGTTGCTCTGCGGCACTTGTTTTTATTGAAGTTGTATACAAAAAGGTGTGACTTATACACGAGTAAATACGGTAGATTGTCGCTATGGAGTATAAACTCATTGCATAAACAATGAAAAAGGAAAATCAGATGAAAACATGTCTTACCTTCTCTGCTTTTAGGGACGGTTTTCACGAACAGAAAGGAGTCTGCGACACTGCAGGGTCTGAAGAAGAGACACACGTACTTCACCCCGTTACAAGACCTGGTCAAGGACACCGACTACGAGTAAGCACATACCACAGCCTCTGTTTGTGCATGGGCAACATCAGTCATTAAAATTTTCATGATAGCTAATGTATATTTATTTTCTTAGTAGAGTATTCAATGTTTTAGGAATGCTCTGTGTATAAACCAGTTGGGTTTAAATCAAACCACCAAAAACCAGCATAGTAATAGTATTCACATAATCGGATGGGACAATTGAAGCTTCGCATGATTAGGCATGTAACACAGTTCATGGTATTGCTCTCATCTCGATATGATTAGACCGGTTGCACTGCTAATACATTGTGCCGTGTTTATCAGCCCGAAACTAAACTACGCAGCTATCTATTTTACAATGCATGGCTAACGTCGTTCTCCACTTCCAGGCATAGAATGTCCTATGAGAAATGGTGGATGAAGCTTCGCCCTCTACTACGGATAATGGCTCAGCACAAAGCTGCGTACGAGATATCTAGCGTGCAGATGCTCCGGATTGACAGCAGCAGTGATGTAGACCAGGCACCTGACACTGAATAAGACAGCAGCAGTGATGTATAACATACGCAGACACCAACTAACACAGCAGCAGTGATGTATAACATACGCAGACACCAACTAACACAGCAGCAGTGATGTATAACATACGCAGGCACCAACTAACACAGCAGCAGTGATGTATAACATACGCAGACACTAAGTAACACAGCAGCAGTGATGTATAACATATGCAGACACTAAGTAACACAGCAGCATTGATGTATAACATATGCAGACACTAAGTAACACAGCAGCAGTGATGTATAACATATGCAGACACTAAGTAACACAGCAGCAGTGATGTATAACATACACAGACACTAAGTAACACAGCAGCAGTGATGTATAACATACACAGACACTAAGTAACACAGCAGCAGTGATGTAGAACATACGCAGACACTAAGTAACACAGCAGCAGTGATGTATAACATACACGGACACTAAGTAACACAGCAGCAGTGAGGTAGACAATATGCTGGACATTATGTATA